TAAACATTCAAAATAGCTGTGCCCTTGGTCACTTTAAATATCCAATATGGCTACCACTTTGCCCTCGGTCACTTTAAATATCTAAAATGGCTGTGCCCTTGGTCACTTTAAATATCCAAAATGGCTACTACTTATAAACATTTAAGATGGCTGCACCCTTGGTCACTTTAAATATCCAAAATGGCTGCCACTTATAGACATTCAAAACGGCTGTGCCCTCCAGACAGTGGAAAGTCAACAGCTCAGGTTGTCTACCTCCTTGCTGTTTCCCTTCCTAGTCATAGGCCACCAGTCCAATCGTCCCTGCAGCCCTTGGTGACCAGGGCTGATCTTAGGTCAATTCTCAGGTCCCAACACCACTTGGAAATATTCAGGCTGTTGGTCCCGTCAGAGTAGCTGACAGTCCACGGCTCTGACCATCTCTGTACTTAACTGTTTTTGTTCAGCTTTTTTCACTAGTTGGTGCCTAATCCACTTCTGTATAGTTCCTTTCAAAGCTCAGGGCTCCAGGATTATCTTCTGTATCTTTGTCAATTGTTTTTTCTTTTCTTTGTTGAAGAGGGTCTGTGTCGCTTGTCTGCCTATTCCTCCATCTTACCGGAAGTTTCCTTCCATGCGTCTTTGATTTTTCTCATTCTTCTTTGCTCTGGATGAGGAAGGACCTATGGTTGCATCTAGATGGCCACTTGCAAGCTTTTAAGATCCCAGTCGCTACTCACCAAAGTAGGAGGTGGAACAATGTTTTTGTGTAGTATGTTATGCCAATACAGCTTGATTTCTCCTGTGACCATGGTCCTGAGCCCACAGGTCCAACTGCTGGCTCCCTCTGGATAGCTGGCTGTGGCCAAGAAATCACTACAACCTTGCCCCTTGCCAGCTCTAATATACACCTGGATGTCCTTACAACACATACAAATGTGCATGTAGAAACATTGTCTGCTAACTCTATACATGGTCATGGGCACACTACCCCCTGCCTAGACATACTTGATTGTTCAGAATGTCCACCCATCTATCCACCTGTAGATTGATGCTTGCCATCACTGACAATGCAGTACTGTAGATGCAAAAGGGTTCATCTTTGTTGTCTGTACCTCCCATGTAACTCTCTGTGTCTTCCTCTTCCTCAGTGCCACCATGTTGACCGCTCACTTTTGGTACATTGCCCTTCCCTTCACCCAAATCAGTACTTGTCTCTACCTATCTAGACGTGTTCCCTTCTCTCCCCTCCTACCAACAAAGAAAAGTTTCCTTCCACATATAAACCTTCCCTTGACTTTTTACAATAGTACATTTTAATTTGGTCAGCCTTTGCTTTGAGTTTTGTTTTGAGATTGTAATTAGTTACATTAAAATTTGAAATTGATGTTGGATCAACTCTTTTTAACATTATGAAATGCCCCTCCATTATTTTTTTTAATCTCTGGTGATGCTTCTTGCCTTAGTATCTGTTAGCATTTGCAGGGTACGTCATTTTCCATTTTTTTCCTTTCAACTTTTCTGTGTCCTTCTATTTAATGTGTGTCTCTATATGATAAATACCATATAGTTAGGTAGTGTTCCCTACCCTTATTTTTTAATTGGCATATTCAGTCTGTTTATATTTAATTAACTACTGATACTTTTAGAATTAGATTTAAACCTTACCGTTTATATTCTGTTTGTCCCATCTGTTACTTACTCCCTTTTTCTCCTTTATACTCTTCGGATTATTCACATTTAAAAATTAATTTCATTTTAACACTTCTGTTGTTATATGTTTTAAAAAATTATCCTTGTCAGTGGTTACGCATGACACACATTAGTACTGTACTTTTTGCAAATAACATGCCCACACATATAACATGGAAGTTGGCATACTGTGCTTACAAAAACATGGGGTGGGAGTAGGTTGTGCAGTTACTTGGCAGGAATGTATGTGCATGCATTATTTGAATTAAATATGGTAACTTATTATAGTCAATAATAAATTAATGCTTTTACCACAACCTGGGTAATGCATGGACCTTAGAACACTAACTTCATTTACCCCTTTCTGCTTTTTCTGCTGTTGTAATGCATTTCAGTTCTACATATATTTTAAACACTGTAAGGCATTTCTATTATTGTTTTGTAAAGTCAGTATTTATTCAACCTTACCCACGTATTTACCCTTACAGTGCTCTTCATTCTGCAGTTCTGTGCTGCTTCTTGGGATCTTTTTCTTTATGTCCAAAGAATTTTATTAGTATTTCTTTTATTGCCAATCTTCTGGGAACCAGTTCTCTCAGTTTTGTTTGTTGAACAGAATCTTTATTTCCAAAATATATTTGAATGATCTTTTTCCCTCTAAGTATAGAATTCTAAGTTGCCAGCTATTTCCATTTGTTGTATTAAAGATGTCATTTAATTATCTTGTACCTGTTGTCTACTAGAAAATCAGCTGTCAGCTTTATTATTGCTTATTGGAAGTAATAAATTGTCATCTTTTCTGACTGCTTTTAAGATTTGTCTTAAATATCGTTTTCATCAGTTTTACTGTGATACAACTTCTCGGAAGGAAGGTTGGGCAATCTACTTCCGTAATGATACCGCCTCGGACATCCGAGGAGGGGTCGCTATGAGTCGGGTCCAACTCGACAGCAGACAACAACATGACACATCAAATTTTTAAAAATATTTCTTTGTATCTAACGTTTCTTGGGATTTGTAGGGTTCATGAATCTGTGACTAAATGTCTGTGTTAGTTTTGGAAAATCCTTGGCCCCAGTATCTAAATATGATTTGTGCCACAATCTTTCTTTCCTCTTCCTCTGGGACTTAAATTATATGATGCTTGTGGTTTTTCCCATATTTTATGACTCTTTAGTATTTTTTTCTTAACATTCAATCTTTTTTTTCTCTCTGTGCTTCAAAATCGATACTTTTTTTCCTGATCTTTCAGTTCATTAATCTTTCTTCTGCTGTAAGTAGTATGCTGTTAAATTCATCTATTTAAGTCTTCACTCAAGTTTTACATTTTTCAGTTTTAGAATTTCATCTTATTCTTTTATGGATTCCAGTTCTCTGGTGAAATTTTCTGCCTTCTGTTTCCTTGAACATATAAATTAATAGTTACTGATATTTTAAAGTCTGCATTTGGTAACTTCACTATGTGGATCACCTCTTAAGTCTGTTTCACTTCTCTTTTGTTTTGGTCATTTGGTCCTGTCTCATAGCACGTCTGGTAACTTTCCCTTGATTGCTATACATTGTGAATATAAAATTGTAGAGGCTAAGGATGATGCTGTCTTCCTCTGTAGAGGACTTCCTCTGCTTCTGGCATGGTGTTTGAGGTTAGGTACCTGTCATCTTGATCAAATCAAAGATGGAGTGGATTCTAGACTGGGTTTCAGTGTTAATAAAGACTAAGTCCATTTCAGGTTTCCTCTTATACTACACATATCCCTGTAGGGGTCATAGCAGGGATCTGGGTAGTCCTTCCTTTTCAGCAGACCCGTACCTTATTTTTTTATTTTTTTGGTGTCCTCAACGCTGAGACTACTGAAAACACTTCTTAGCTTTTAGCCTTTTAGTTGCCACACTCTGTTTGGCTGGAGCTCTCTGGCATAGTGCCTAAGGCATTTGACTGCTAACCAGAAGGCTGGTGGTTCAAACTCACCAGCCACTCCTCGGAAGGAAGGTTGGGCAATCTACTTCCGTAGTGATATCGCCTTGGAAACCCAAGGAGGGGTCGCTATGAGTCGGATCCGACTAGACAGCAGTGAGATTGGTTTTTGTTTTGGTTTCTGGTTAGTAGGCTTGTTACTGCTTATAGTTTAAGTATCGGCAGGTGCCTTGAGAGAAAAAACGGTGAAGAATGCTCAGTGTATTGTTTTTCCTTTTGCTTCAGGATCTTTGCCCCTCAAGTCCTGGGTACCTTGGTTGCTGTATGATGTCTTTAAAAAGCTGGGTTTTCTTTGTTTTGTTTTTTATATTTTATTCCACTTTTATAGTTACTCTTGGCAGGGGGTTGGTCTGACACATGCTACTCGATCTTAACCAGAGTTTTCATCAGGTAAAGAGTAGCTGGGAGGTTTAAATGAGGCAGCTTAACTAAAGAGTTTGGTAGATACTATGTGCTTATGAGGAGATCTGATAGCATAGTGCCTAAGGCACTTGACTGCTAACCAGAAGGTTGGTGGTTCAAACCCACCAGCCACTCCTCAGAAGGAAGTTTGGGCAATCTACTTCCATAGTCATTACCGCCTCAGAAACCCAAAGAGGGGTTGCTATGAGTGAGTCCGACTCAATGGCACATAACAACAACAACAACATGTGCTTTTGTGTCTTATTCTTTTCATATAATAAAAGCAAAGATTAAAAACTGAGAAGTAAATATTTCCACTTACTTGCCTAACCCAAAGGCTCAAGCTTGTTTACTAAATAAATACCCTAAAGTGTTGCTACATTTATATAGTAAAAATAGAACTACCCTTTCTTTTAGCATGTTGTTGTTGTTATGTGCTGTCGAGTCGGCCCCGACTCATAGCGACCCCTCCTTGGGTTTCCGAGGCAGTATCACTACGGAAGTAGGATTGCCCAACCTTCCTTCCGAGGAGTGGCTGGTAATGCTTGAAAAATAAACCCAAAACAGAGATGTTAAGTCTAATGTATTTTTATCATTTCGTGTTGCTTGCAGTTTTTCTTGAATGAGGTGTGTTTTAAAATGTGTTTTTAGAGGTTGTAAGTGAATCTAAATAAAAACATTACAATATCTGCTGAGAACTTGGATTTGTTTACACTAAGATGTCTATTGATTCTATCCCAGTACTCACTTAAACTTACTCTTTAAACTCAGCTTGTTCACCTGTGAATCGGCAATACTTGTGTTACATAGTTCAAATGATTGTTAAAAGAATTAAAATACTAAAATACATAAAAGCACTTAAAATAGTACCTGGAACTGAATAGTTAACAAATAGAACTTGTGTGATAGAGATTATTTTTTTTAAGCATTTTCTCTTTTTTTTCTTTTCTAGGTGCTGACTTTGGTTTGCTTTTTGAAACACTCGGGATGGTAATTTCTACTTTTTAGGACCTTAAAGCTAACTAAAAGTATCCTATGTAAATGAAGTGAAGCCCCTTCTGTCCTTCTGCATTTGGAGGCACCTTTATTTCACATCTCCGAGGAGTATATAACGAGTGCAGTCATTATGAACGTGACAAGTTTATTTTCCTTCACAAGTCCAGCTGTGAAGAGACTTCTTGGGTGGAAGCAGGGTGATGAAGAAGAAAAATGGGCAGAGAAAGCTGTTGATGCTTTGGTGAAAAAACTGAAGAAAAAGAAAGGTGCCATGGAGGAACTGGAAAAGGCCTTGAGCTGCCCGGGTCAGCCAAGTAACTGTGTCACCATTCCACGCTCTCTGGATGGCAGGCTGCAAGTGTCCCACCGGAAGGGACTGCCACATGTCATTTACTGCCGTGTGTGGCGCTGGCCTGACCTTCAGAGCCACCATGAACTTAAACCACTCGAATGCTGTGAGTTTCCTTTTGGTTCCAAGCAGAAGGAAGTCTGCATCAATCCCTACCACTATAAGAGAGTAGAAAGTCCTGGTAAGTGAATCCTTTTATATTAAATGCTATTTGTGTGCCAGTAGCAGATCTGTGTTTTTTTAAATACTAAAATAATCTCTTTCCATGTTTTTAGTTGTAATTTTAAAATATTGGGGAAAGTTACATATATTAGTCAGCCCTTCAGTGTTTCATACATGTTAATAGCTCAGTCCATTTGAGTTTATATTATTTCCTAGGAACAAGACTATGAAAATTGTCATCATAACTTCTAATACAGATTGTTTTCCTTCTAAATTTATTTTTATGTTGCTCATTGGTTCTGTACATTTCTCCAGACAACATTTGCCTGTGAATTTTATGAAAGGGAAAGAAAATTGGGGAAATAAAGGAACAGGGTTTTTCCATTTACATATTTGAGTTAAGTATATACATGATGACATGATAATCAAGTAAAAGTTGTCAATGACTTACCACTCGAAATGTAGCATCCTTTATCATCTTTAGTAGAATTTTACTATGATATATTCCTTGTCCTTGTAGAGGCTATGAAGGAATTATTTTCTCTTTTGGAATCACTGGATATTACTATTTTATAAGATACTTCACATACATGGATTTTTTGGGGGGGGATATAGTAAAGGGTATATTTTAAAATATGGTTTTGCCCTCAAATTAGAATCCACATTCCAGGCAGTTGCATAAGTTGGAGAATGATCAAGCCATCTTAAGCATTTATATATCATTTTGTCGATGAATTAATGGTTATTAATAGCTAGTGAATTACCTACCTACTAGGTGTTATTGTTCTTGTTATGTGCCATTGAGTCAGACCTGACTCAACAGTGAGCCCTCCTTGGGTTTCTGAGGTGGTATTACTATGGAAGTAGTTTGTCCAACCTTCCTTCCGAGGAGTGGCTGGTGGGTTTGAACTGCCAGCCTTCTGGTTAGCAATCAGGAACCTTAGGCACTATGCTACCAGAGCTCCCACCTACTAGGTAGGACTTAGAATTACATGGCTCACTGTGCAAAATTCTGATTCTGGGACCAAAAAAACCAAACCCACTGCTATAGAGTTGATCCATCTACAGTGACCCTGTAGGACAGAGTAGAAGTACAAGGGTACATGGTACAGAGCAGAGTATAATGCTGTACCACCAGATATGGTGTCTGCTTCTGTAACCAGAGTTCCTTGATTCTGAGACAGAGGCTGGTAATTTATATTTTCAGCAAGTACTTCAGGTGGTGCTAATGCAGGTATTGAATTGGTGTTTAGAAACTATTGAAGTACAGCATATAATAACATGGTTTTCAAATAAAAGGTATTCTGGGTTTTGTGTAGAATATTCAATACGTACAAAAAAAGTTTAAAAATTCAGGAATAATACAAGATTACACATAAAACTGAAACTGCTGTTTATACCTCTCTAATGCTGTTCCCTTCGATAACAAGTAGTCTGAATTTGATGTTTATCTTTCCCATGCATGTCTTTATACTATAATTATGTATGTATATATCCATAACAATATGTAATATTGTTTAACATATATTTAAAAATTTTATGTAATGGTATTAGAGTATGCTTCTACTAATAATTTTATTTCATTCAACATTATGTTTTTGGGATTTCTAGATTATACACTTTAGGGTTACTTCGTCAAATTCTGTGAAAAAGCCTATTGGAATTTTATTGAATTCATGAGGATTGACATAGTTAAGTTACTGAGCATAATATTTTTCTTTATTTAGGTCTTTATTAACTTTCCTCACTATTCTGGTTATGTGCTGTCAGGTCAGACCTGACTCATAGTGATCCCTCCTTGGGTTTCCGAGGCAGTATCACTATGGAAATAGATTGCCCAACCTTCCTTCCGAAGAGTGGCTGGTGGGTTTGAACCACCAACCTTCTGGTTAGCAGTCAAATGCCTTAGGCACTAGGCTTCCAGAGCTCCTTAACACTGTTCTGGTTATCTAGTGCTGCTCTGTGAGGAATATACCACAAATGGGATGGCCCTAACAAACAGTTTATTTTCCCACTGTTGGGGAGGCTAGAAGTCAGAGTTCAAAGTGCCAGGCTTTAGGGGCTGGGTGAAAGCCCCTCAACTTTGGGCTTCAGCTCTGCCTCTTGCTCCCGGCCCACCAAAGCCAGAGGCATCTCTTCAGTCAGACAGCCACTGGCTGCTGAGGCCAGTAAGCCCAAGGTGGACAAAGAAAATGGCACAGTCCCGATGTTACCAAACCACATGGCAAGGTATTCATTCAAGTCCGTTGAAAGTCCCAAGGTCGGCAGAGCATGGCAGGCTGCTGAGCAATGACATAGCTACATGCAGGGTCCAAGCATGCCATAGGCTAGAGACCATTTCCAAAACTGCTTCTTATATACCGGAAGTAAACCACATCCCAGAGGCAGCTACTCAGCTGCTCACAGTAGACTCCACCATGGAGTTGATTACCAATCTCATCATAGGGAATACTACACCCAGCTGCCCAGCCACTCAACCAGGCCCAGCCAAGTTGACACACAAACTTAACCACCACACTCACTAAGTCCTTGTACAACTTCTGTTAGATTTATTTCTAGACAATTTACTGTGTTTTATTGAATCCTTTTAAAGGATATTTTGTTACATTTGCTCTTGGTTAGGAGTGCAGTTGATTTTTTCCAACAGCCTTGCTGAACACTCAACTCAGAATGTTTTGCTATAGATGTTCTTTACTGCTTATAAGAATCTCTGGTGGTTAAAGCATAGGGCTGCTAACCAAAAGGTTGGCAGTTCAAACCCACTACCTGCTCCTTAGGAGAAAGATGTGGCAGTCTGCTTCTGTAAAGATTTTACAGCCTTGGACACCCTATGGAACATACCTTCACTGTTCTGTAAGATCACTGTGAGTCATAATTGACTCAGTGACAGTGGATTTTTACTGTTTATTATGCCACTTACGTAGAGTTTTTGTTTGTTTTGTTTTTCAGAAAAAGCGCAACACAGACACATGCTTTATTATAGCAGGAAATTGAGATGGGGCTAAGAGTTTAGGAGAATAAAAATTAGTATATATATAATATGTACAAATAAGATTATTTAGGCACATGATTTTTTGATACCTATAGTATAGTGACTTTAACAGATACATTGTTGTTGTTGTTATGTGCTGTTGAGTCGGACTCAACTCATAGTGACACCTCCTTGGGTTTCTGAGGCAGTAGCACTATGGAAGTAGATTGCCCAACCTTCCTTCTGAGGAGTGGCTGATGAATTTGAATCGCCAGCCTTCTGGTTAGCAGTCCAGTGCCTTAGGCACTACGCTCCTAGAGCACCTTAACAGATACATCAGATATAGTTTAATCTTACTATACAGTTGATAAAGGAGCTCTGGTGGCATAGTTGGTAAGGCATTTACCTGCTAACCAAACGGTATGCATTTCAAAACCCACCAGCTGCACTGCGAGAGGAAGATGAGGCAGTCTGCTTCTGTAAAGATTTATAGCCTTGGAAACCTAATGAGGGTCACTGTGAGTCGGAATCTATTTGACGGCAGTGGGTTTCATACAGTTAATAAGGAGCCCTAGTGGCACAGGGTTAAGCAGTTAAGCATCCTGTTAACTGAGGTTGGTGGTTTGAATCCCCAGCTGTTCTATGGTTGAAAGATATGGTGGTCTGCTTCTGTAAAGATTTACAGCCGTGGAAACCCAGTGGGAGCAGTTCTACTCTGTCCTACAGGGTCACTATAAGTTGGAATCAACTCAGTGACATGGGTTTTTATACAGTTGATGAAACTGAGGCTGAGAGAAGATAGTGACTTGTATGTCAGACATTTAGAAAGTAGAGGTATTTTGACATGGGATGTACTCTGGTTCAAGTTAGTGTTCCTATAGTAAACTTAAGATTCACTCTTTAGAAAACGGTTGCAGCAGTATATTGACAGGGAACTGCCAGAAATTCAGAATGGATTCAGAAGAGAGTATGGGATGAAAGATGTCTTTGCTGATAGGGATTCAGAAGAGGACGTGGGAGGAGAGATATCATTGCTGATGTCAGACGGATCTTGGCTGAAAGCAAAGAATACCAGAAAGATAAACCTGTGTTTTATTGACTATGCAAAGGCATTCAACTGTGTGGATCATAACAGGGTATGGATAACATTACATAGAGAGACAATTCCAGAACACTTAATTGTGCTTGTGACCAAGAGCACATAAACTAAGAGGCAGTCAGTCAGACAGAACAAGGGGATAAGTGTGTGCTTTAAACAGGGAGGGAGGGAGTCAGGGTTGTGTCTTTTTACCATACTTACTTAATCTGTATGCTGAGCAAATGATCCAAGAAGCTGGACTATATGAAGAGGAAAGCAGCATCAAGATCGGAAGAAGACTCGTTAACAATCTGTGGTATGCAGATGACACAACCTTGCTTGCTGGAAGTGAACATGACTTGAAACACTTACTGATGAAGATCAAAGACTACAGTCTTCAGTATGTATTATCCCTCAACATAAAACAAAAATCCTCACAACTGGACCACTAAGGAACATCGCAATAAATGGAGAAAAGATTGAGAGGTTGTCAGGGATTTCATTTTACTTGGATCCACAGTCAACACCCATTTAAGCAGCAGTCAGGAAGTCAGACGTCATATTGCTCTGGGCATATCTGCTCCAAAAGACCTCTTTAAAGTATTGAAGAGCAAAGATGTCTCTTTGAAGACTAAAGTGCACCTAACCCAAGCCATGGTATTTCCAGTTGCTTCATAAGCATGCAAAAGCTGGACAATGAAAAAAGAAGCCCAAAGAAGAGTTCATGCTTTTGAACTGTGGTGTTAGTGAAGGTTACTGAAATTACCATGGACTGCCAGAAGAATGAACAAATATGTTCTGGAAGAAGTGCAGCCAGAATGCTCCTTGGATGTGAGAAGACCAGACTTCGTCTCAGCGACTTTGGTCGTGTTGTCAGAAGGGACTGTTACTGGAGAAGGATATCATGTTTGGTAAAGTGGAGGGTCAGCAAAAAAGGGGGAAGACCTTCAACAAGATGGATTCATACAGT